TTTTTTTTTTTTTTTTTTTTTTCCCCCTTGGGATTTGGCTATGATGTAACGATTCCAGTCTCGTGAAACAATCATGTCGTCAGATAGCAATGTCGTGCAATGTCGAGATAATCATTCCAGCTAGTCCATCAATTCAAATTTCAAAGTCATTGAAGTACACGATCCCCTTCATAAGAACGTGCAAAGTCTCGAAGTCAAGAGTATCCAGACTAGAACAGAGAGGGGGAAGAAAAGACAGATGGAAAGAGAAGAATATTGCAGCAATAAAGTCCTTCTTCTCCTCCAGGCTTCCCCGCCTCTGCCACGTCAGCAATCTGTACACAGTATGACGAGTGGATGATGTAAACGCAGCCCCTCACAGACGAGAGATCCTTCAGCAGCGAGCAGAATCAGCAGCAGCATCACATCAGGTGAGACCAGGTACATACGTACACACGACATCACATCTTGCCCTCTCTCTCTCTCTCTCTCTCTCTCTCTCTCTCTCTCTCTCTCTCCTCACTACCTCGCCGTCGTCTATGGTCGCAGCAATGGCTGCCTTCCCTCCCTCTCCTCTCCTCACCTCTCCTACTACAGCGTCTGGCTGGCGCTCGTGAAACAGTCTGGCGCCAGCGTCCTCCTCTCAAGTCTCATGTGCAGCATCGAAGCCCCAAGCAACTCGCAAGACTGAATATCCAAGCAGTGGCCAAGTCAACTCTATATGGTGTTGACTCGCCTTGTCCAGGGTCAGCTTCCGTCTGTGCGTGGCCCGGGACCGGCTCAGATGCAATTCGTCCCAGTTTCCATCTGAACTCCTTGAGGCCTTAATCTGCCGGAACTTGCTCGGTTTAATTAAGTGATTTTCTTGGTTAAAAAAAAAAAAAAAAGAATCTTCCAGAACCTGCATACCACTGTGATTCCAGATGGACGGCCAGGAAATCTTATGTGTTGACTTTGACTTCTCGGATCTGGGCCTGGGTCCACGAGTTGACTGTTGACTTTTCGGTCAACTGTCGGTCAACTGTCGGTCAACTGTCGGTCAACTGTCGGTCAACTGTCGGTCAACTGTCGGTCTAGGCCTCTTCCTACGGTCTTCCCCCGAATAGAACGCCCGGTCATTATCGCTGTATTTGGCACAACTTTCGGTCCAGATGCAGCGATTATGACCGGGGTTTCTATTCGGGTGAAGAAGGTAGGGGATATTTGACCCCCTTTTTCAGGACCTGCCTGTTCGTGCTTGTCTGAGGTCACAACTGGAGCCCAGTGGCTCAAATTTTTTTTTTTTTTTTTTTTCCAGTGGCTCAATTTTGGCACACGAGTTCCAGCAATGAGTTCAAAAAAAAAAAAAAAAAAAATGTTTTTCGAAAAAAAAAAGAAAAGGATTTGGCTATGAGTTTCAAAATGACTCTCAGCCAAACATTGTTTCAAATGTCAATTGCAGTATAGCATCATGGCTCACTACTCCAGCGCTGAGCACAGAAACACAGAAATTCCGTGTCATAATTCATTATTCAGAATCTGACCTGGCAGCACTTCCGTCAAAGGAATGAATGTATCTCTGCTGCCAGGTCAGATACATTCACTTCTTTGACGGGTGTGCTCCTCACAGTTTCAGTAAGCTAGAGCAATCATGCATGTATCTCGGATACATGCATTGCTTTGGCCGGGCGCTGGTACGTACGTACCTGACCTGGTAGTGGAGATATATACATTGCTCTGACCGGTATGTACGTACCTCTGATACATGCATAATTGCTTTGACCGGGCCTCGTATGCACGTACCTGACCTGGTAGCAGAGATATATACATTGCTTTCACCGGTATGTATGTATGTATGTATCTCTGATACATACATTGCTTTGCCCAGGCCCTCGTACGTACGTATCTGGCCTGGCAGTGCCGATACCTCCATTGCAGCTTTGACCGGTCGTATGTATATCTGAATCAATTTCTGATACGTGCATCGCTTTGACCAGGCGCTGGTATGTACGTATCTGGCCTGGCAGTGGAGATACATCCATTGCAGCTTTGACCGTTATGTTCGTTATCTCTGATACATACATACCGCCCTGGCAGCAAAGAGTCCGACACACATTGCTTTTTTTTTTTTTTTTTTTTTTTGACACATATTGCTCTGACCGGGCCCTGGTATGTGTGTAAGGGCGTTGCGGCACGGCACAGGAAACGAAAAACGAAACGAATGAATGTTCCCCAAGAAAATGGCCAGATGATGGTAACGACTCTAACGAGTGTATTCGGCCACCTTTGTTGGGCAGATGCACTCGTTTGGTTTTCGTTTTGTGTGCCGTGCGGGGAGACCCTATCTCTCCTTTCTTCTCCCCCTCCTCCTCCTTCCCCACTTTTTTTGTCTTTTTTTTTTTATTATTATTTTTTTTATTTTTTTACACACACACACACACACACACACACAGCCCCTTCTATTCTGGGTGGCTTCAGTCCGGTTACTTTATCTCCGGCAAGCATCAACGAAGATGATCAGGGCAACAGCATTCATCGTGACCAATGAGGGCAGTATCACAGCTGCAGCGGATGGCGGCCGGGAGACTCCCACTGGTACCCAGTCATTGCCCCCCCCCCCCCCCCCCCCCCCCCCCCCCCCCCCCCCCCCCCTTTCCTCCCCCTCCCCCTTGCTCAGCCGTACCCGATGTGGCCGATATATATCTCCCTAAGCCCCAGCGACTGCACTGGTCGTGGCAATTACATGCGACCCAGCATCGCCTGTACTCATCTGAACCGTTGGATGTGTGTGCGATCCGTGCCCAAAGATTCTGAACCGTTGGATGTGTGTGCGATCCATGGCCGATGTTGACTTCCGCACAGTTCTTTTGACTCTTGATTTGTCTGTACCGTCGGACGTGTGGCCAGACCATCGACTTTTCCAGGAAAAATATCCCAGACCCGGACTCGAGATATTACTCGTTGGCAAATGCAGGCCTGGGATATTACCCCGTATGCAGGGTTGAGATATTACCCCCCTATTCAGACCTGCGATATCACCCAAACCCCCTTGCAAAAACACACACACATACACATAAAAAAAAAAAAAAAAAAAAAAAAACTATTGCTGGCCGCCCGCCTGATAGGCCAGATAGGTGGCATCGTTCCGATGCTTCTAGGGAAGGACAATTTTTGACTTTTGGACTTTTTGACTTCTTGAGCTTTTGAGCTTTTGGAAAACAAATTTGATGTGTTGAGTCACTGTTGACCTTTACACGTTTTCGTCTTTAACTTCGACTTTGACTTTACTTCGACTTTACTTCTGACTTCGATTTCCACTTGGACTTGGATTTTGAGTTTGAGTTTGAGTTCGAGTTCAAGTTTTGAGTTTGAGTTTGAGTTTGAGTTTGAGTTTGAGTTCAAGTTTTGAGTTTGAGTTTGAGTTTGAGTTTGAGTTTGAGTTCAAGTTCAAGTTTTGAGTTTGAGTTTGAGTTTGAGTTTGAGTTTGAGTTCGAGTTCGAGTTCGAGTTCGAGTTTGAGTTTGAGTTGGGCTTTGACTTTGACTTTTGAGTTTGAGTTTGAGTTTGAGTTTGAGTTTGAGTTTGAGTTTGAGTTCGAGTTCGAGTTTGAGTTTGAGTTCGAGTTCGAGTTTGAGTTGGGCTTTGACTTTGACTTTGACTTGGACGTGGACTTGGAGTTGGGCTTTGAATTGGGTTTGAATTGGGCTTTGACGTGGGCTTTGACTTGGGCTATGATTTTGGTTTTGGATTTGGCGGTGCAGACGCCTAACTGGCGAAGACCTTGCAAAAATGTCTGTTAGCGATTTGGAAGCGTTGGAGACCAAGCTGGCGACAGGCCTTCTGAGTGTCAGGAAATGCAGGGTGAGGAGTCCCTTGCACCAGTGCCGCACCATCAGTCAGTGGTCACGGGGTCCGTGACCGCTGCCCGGGCACCCAGTCACGGAACCCGTGATCGATTGGCCTTGCCCGGGAGAACAGGTTGCGGCATGTTGGGAATTTTATTTTTTTGGCCTTATTTGGGTGGTGGGGTGGTGGGTGGTCGTTTGTCACAGCCCCGTGGGGGACCCGGCCCGTGACCAGCCGGTCACCGGAAAAGGGGTCAGGTGACCGGCTGGTCAAATCACCATGACCGAACCGGTCATCGGTCATGGTGCCAGCACTCCCTTGCACCCGCCGACCAGAGGGGAGAGAGGGGAGGCACCATTTCCCCACCACAATGCAGAGAAACCTGATACTGTGTCTTTGTGTTATAGCTTATATATTCTACCACCAGGCCCTCTTATGGTATGAATGATGTTTTTTTTTTTTCTTTTTTTCTAATTTTTAAATACTTTAATTTCGTAATAATTGCCCTTTCCGCTCACTGAGCGTTGATAGTAGTACTTGATATCCTGATACAATTTTATTAAAATTTTCCGAATTTTCTAACGTTACTATGCTACTGTATTTTTCAATTTTTCAAAATTTTTCTCTAGGGAGATATCCCGGGCGCCCGGGTCCCGATGTCACACCCGGAATGGCGACCGGGTGACCGGCCGGGCATGACCCCCGGGCATGGCCCCGGGCATGGCCCCGGGCAGCCTCAGCGCAAAAGGAAAAAAAAAAAAACAAAAAAAAAACAAATCCAAAAAAATCTGAAAAAAAAAAGCTGTGTAGAATTGCAATACAAACAACTTTTGGCTGAGGGTCACATCAGAATTCCTCACAGAACTAAAGATAAAGAAGAAAATAACCATATCACACTAAGGCACCCCCCTTTAAGCCCCTTTAGCCCCTTTAAAATTCATTTACACTCCCCTTTCCCCCCCCTTGACAGGCAACATTCAAAAAAAGAAAAGAGCCCGGATTTGGGCTCCAGAGTAGGCACAGAGTGCTTACGGAGCTCGGGATTGAATGTGCGCATCGTCATTTTCCTGTCGTCAATTCCAGAGAGCTAAGCTTGGCGTTTTGAGTTTTTTGAGGACCTGTTGTCAAGAAGAGTGTGAGTACTGGTCTGGGGGTGGAGTGCTGGTCTCTCTGTTTCTGTTCATGTTTGGACTATCTCACTGCAGAGTAATTCTGCATTGAAGCACTATCTCAACTCACCTCCTCTCGGAGAGCGCGGAAAAACCCCACCGCCTTTTTTTTTTTTTTTTTTGCCATGACCGGGTCACCCGGGCATCAGACCCCCCCGGGCGTCATGCCCGGGTGACCGGCCGGTCATGAAAATCTTCCTAGATTTTTTTCT